TTGTGAGAAAATGGCTGCAGCAGAAACATGTAAAGATCCCTGAACTTTACAGAAAGCCTCATTTATGCACTTTTACTGACTTTCCGGCACCAGTTTAAAGACTCTAAGTGTCATTAATCCACAAAAGCAACCTGCTGTCACCAAAGCAGAGAGAAAGGTTGGATTAATTCAAGTGCTTCGCTTCAGCTGCAGCCTGAAATAAGCTGTAACAGCGCGCTACTTCCAGTGGATTCATGCCATCGCAGCCTATTGTGGCCCAACTGACTTTCCCTGGTTTATGTCCCTGTTTAGTCGCAGCCATTCAGCCTGAGCGCTCACCTCTCCGCCTCCTCGCTGCTGTGGCATCTCAATGAAAACCACATCACGCTATCTCATCCCCTCACAGGTTCCTCTGGCTCTAAAGCTCTAACCACAGCCCTGCACCCCCGCCTTCACTTTCTTTATAAACTCTCTCCATTCTTTTCCCCTCCAGCTAGACAATCTGATTTCAGCCGCTTTTCCTCGGTTTCAACTGCATGTAGCCCCTCAAACCACCTCCTCCACCACCGCCTCCCCTCCTCCTTCCTCGGGAGTGGCCGCTCGGATCTTGTCGGGCTCTCAGCTGGCCTCCACCTGCAGCCACCAGATAGGGACGGAGTGTGAACACAATGAATGATTTACCGTACGCCGCTGCTGCTGCCGACCTCAACACAGTTCTTCTTTCACACAGGAGGTCTTGTTTTTTTCTCGCCTGCTCTCACTCTAAAACCCTGCCGACGCCGTAGGTGCTTCTTTCCGGCCTCACTTGTGAGCTTGAACATTGTGATTTAACCGCCTCACCACCCGAAACTTTCCCCCAGGCTTTGAGAAACACCTGAAGCGCGTCCCTTGGGGTTTATCACCTCCCTCATCCATCACTGTGATCAGCAGCTCCACTTGTTTGCCGCCATTAAAACCGTTTCTGGTTGTAAATCCCCCCCCCCCCCCAAACAGCCAGAATATCATCGTGTGTGTTGATGTGAAGAAAGCCGCTCGGCGTTTCCTGGTCATTGTGTCTGTTCGGGAGGTGAGGCAACCATTTGAAAGGTCAAAGGTCAACAGGCAGAGTCGGGGAATGAATAAGCTTTCAGTTGGCTTGTTTGTCTGAATGTGCATTTATGTCCTTTCTTGGGTGTTTTTAATCACCGTTCATGGGTTTTTAAATGTTGCTTTCCACAGGAGAAATGCCCCCACTGCTTCTGTCTTCTCAGAAACGTCTCCCCTCACCCTTATTGTACGACTACAAGCTGCTGTCTGTCGCTTTGATGTCTTTTCATGACTTATCAGACCCCGAGCTGTGCACTGATCACAAGGCTGATCTCTCTCACGCAGCAGCTGCATCTCAGCAGCATCTCTGCAGTTCCTGATATATTCTGCCGGGTGTTAAAGTTAGCGGAGCTCAAATTAGTCTCAGCAGAACTGATTTGACTTTGCTGAACGCTCGCCGTCTGCTGCAGGGTGTCATCACCAGCTTCAGCTGTTTATCTGTTTTATTCCAACCCTGAGAAGTTAACGATGCATTTACAAGCTCCACCGCATCATTTTATCTGTTTAATTAGTGCTGCACTTGCTGTTGGTCTTTACGGTGTTTCTGTAGGCAAATGATAATGAACGCAATCTGCAGCGAGAAAACAGGCAGGAAAGGCGAGAGCGCGTCGCATGACTTCTTATCTGAGGAGCGCCTGCGAACACATTTGTTGATGTGTGACTTTCTGCTAGTCATCTGCAGGCCGCTGCGACCACAGAGTCATCTTCTTTTCATTCTGTTTGGTGTCTTTTAGGGTGAAAATATGATTCGGCACAACTCGAAACAGTTCCTGTCGGGGTTTTGCTTGTTGATGTGCTGGACACAAAAACATCAACGTTTCACGCTCGACATTTGACCTCAAACCGATCAGAGAGCAAACGAGTGTGGGCCTCCGTCCGCCCACCACACCCTCCGCCTTCGGTGTGAACGCTTGTTAACCGCTGAGCGCTGCTGCCCGGCGATGACCGGACGGCTGCTTCTCTGAATTGTGAAATCAGTTCTGCAGAAACAGAGCTTGAAAGGCGAAGACGAGGCGAGAGTGACTGGGGCTTTTCTTATCTCAGGCTGAGAACATCTGCACACAGAGTGACTGTGAAGGATATTATCTATCATGCTTGAACACAAAAGCAGAAGATCCTGGTTCCTTTTTTTTTTTTGTTCCAGTAGTTGTTACAGAGTTAACACAACGCCTGGTTGATCAGCGTTTAAAGGATTTCTGTATTTTTGAATCAGAAGCTGTCAGATTGTTGACCGTGTTGTGGTCCAGGACCCTGAACTGTAACACACCTAAAATAAGCTGGTTAACAAACTCACAGCACCAATGTGTATCACAATAAACTCTTGTCCCACTTTAAATCAGTTGCAGCGAGTCCATTTGCTCGGCTACAGCTCAGCGTTCTGGTTCCCTGCAGCAGCTGGTCGCTGGTTAACTGCATTTAAAATTCATAATTCACCTTCAGCAGCATCACTAATGTGAATATTTGCTGTTTTGTGTAGATTTCGATCATAATAAAATCTACTGTTTGAGACTTTTGGCAGCTTGTCACACATTTAACATAATAATGGGCCTTTTTTCACTGTTCTCTGACGTTTTATAAACAATCAGTAGATTAAAAAAGAAAAAGATGAGTGATGGTTGTAGCTTCTCCTGTGAGGAAGAAGTGCTCTGGGTTTCATTTGTGGTAAATACATGACACAGAAAAAGAAGCATTTTAATTAAAAACAACTTCACGACAAGTGGTATGAACATAAACTAATGTAATTTAGGTTTTAACATGGACAAACCCATCAGATGATGTTCGTCTTCAGTGGTAAA